CCTGTCCACACTCAAAGGTAGGAGATTGTAAGAAAGGGAAATGCCAGGAAGCACGAACCTCAGGGGCCACCTTCAACTCTGACCTTCAGAAATACTTGCTGAGCAATATACTGTGCCACAGCAAGTGGTAAAGTATCTACGTGTTAAATGGCGATGATAATGGCACAAACTTAAGAAAATCATTCCCACATGCAAGCAAAAGAAGATACTGGAAGATGGTATTTGGGTCCTGTGGCAGTTACAGACCAATTGAGAAGAAAAGATGAATGTGGGTTGGAGCAGTTAAGAAAGGCTTCCAGGATTGAAATTTGATTTCTTTGACTTACTAGAAAAATGGGGGCAGGGGCTATGAAAAGTGGAAAAATATGAGCACATTTATCTTCCTCCCCTTTCAGCAGCTTCTCTTCTCTTGGACTAGACAATGTATTGACTTCTTCTTCTGAAGAACATGGAAAGCCTGACCCAACTCATCTCCTCCCTTTGGTCTTTTCTCTTTCTTCCTTTCATGGGAAAGAGAGTGTATACCAAGATGGTGCCTCCTCATTAGAAATATGAGTTCTTCCTTGCTTTGAATTCTGGATCTGAAAGCTCTGCCCTTGCTTTCCAGATTTCTTTTGCAAAATTAAAAATGCAAATGTTAAAGTATTTTTACTCCATAAAGAATTAATCAGTCATATCACAAACTCTTCTCTCTCAGCATGTGCTCCTCCAGAAAGATAGGTCAAAGCCTAAGCCTGCAGGAAGGCAGCTCCACACTCAGTTTAGACAGACTAGAAGGAGAGGACAGTTCACGAGGATGAGACCATAGGGACAAAGCCCACTTATCAGCTTCTTAATCCACTCTTCCCTCAGCATGCACGAGGTGTGGGTTCCAGGACCCTTCGCACACCAACATCTGCAGATGCCGAAAGCCCTTATAAAAATGGTATAGAGTTTCCATGTGAACCTGCACAATCCTCCCATGTACTTTGGACCATCTCCAGATTGCTCACAATGTCTAATGCAGCATCAATGCTACACAAACAGTTGTTACACTGTATCATTTAGGGAAAAATGAGAAAAATGTCTGTGCACATTCAGCACAGTTGTTTTTTCTGTCTTTCCACCCAAGGTTGGTTGGTTGGTTCTGAGGACCCGGAACCATGGATAAGGAGGGGCAACTGTGTTTGCCTCTCAGGACTGCTGTCAGGGGACCACGAGTCCTCCCTTGATCCAATGGAAGTAAATAATCATGGGAAGCAGCATATAGAACAGATTGCATCTGTAGAATATAAAGCACAGGCTACAAGCTAGGCACCAACAGACCTGTTTTGTTTGCCTTACCGAGAATTTAAAAAGGAAAATAAGTCCACTTCTGAATTCAGATGTATTTCAGTATTTCTGACTTCTCTTTTTTAAAATTAGAAGGCAACCCCAGGCCTGTGACCCCCGTTTGTCCCACAATGCAAGCGGTGGCTCACTTTCCTTCTTTAGCTAGTGACCGTGAAGGTGTTGGAATTTGCTCCAGCCAGAAAGCATATCAGCGTGATTTTCAAAGTGTTGTCCATACACCTGCACCAATTTCAGCATGGACACGGGTTCCTGGGCCCTGTGCTAGGCTGGCTGAATGCGAGTGTTAAAGCTGAGCCTCAGTGATCAGTGGCTTTAGCGAGCTCCCTGGGTGATCCTCAGGCACACAGAGCATGCACAGAAGCACTGCCGCATAGGACCTGGGGAGCTGCTGCGTGAGTGGGCAGCAGGCCGTGTGCTTCTCAGCTCTTGTGGCAGCCTGCAGAGAGAGCGCGCCTGCCTATGTGCGGGCAGGTGTTTTGCTGCCTTTAGGAACCATCTTTCCGTACCCAGTTGCTGTTCTGAGGCCCCACACACTGTGCAGTCTGCCTCTGAGAGGCGAAGGTCTGACCCATGGGAATCGCACACGGAAGATCTGAGTTCTGGACAGTGAAGGTTTGCATTGTGCTGTGTGCACTGGGCTGGAAATCTGCAGGGTGGGATCCCAGGTACGCTTCCTCAACCCCAGCAGAAAAAAGCCCAGATCATAAAGAAGCAAAAGCAACGTTGTTCACTTAGTTGACTCACACATGCATACTCTCCATTTGAGCTATAAAACCCAGTGTGTAAGGGGAGGCACGGCATTAGTATTGGACCAAACTGTCTTTTGTGTCTGTTTATACAAAAAAGCAGCTCCAGCAGTCATTCTCATCAACTCTATTCCCATCTAAATCAGGCAAAATATCTGGAAATCATGTTTATTGACTCCTCATTAAGAGTTTTATTGTTTCACCCATCTGATTGACTTAGGAAATATTTTTATTATATTCCTCCCCAAAAAAGGGGGCTGATTGGGATGTGTATGGATTAGTCACTATGGCTAGTGAATATTTAAAATTTCCTTTAGAAGAATTTTAGAAGCCCACATTTGAATTGTTGGCCCATCACACACTGGCCTGAGAAGCAGAACTGAGTGTCGCGAGGGTTTCATCTCATGGAGCCACGATTTCACCTTCACACTGCCAACTGTTGTTCCCCAAGGGTGCTTGACGGTCTTCCAGTCTTTGCAAATCATCATCAATCATGAAGCCATTGCAGCCTGTTTTCCAAGTTCAACCCTGAAAGTGGCTTGCTAATCTTATAAGCCAATCAGCTTTCTCTAGAGCAAAGGAAAGGAGGGGAAGACAGTGGCCTCATTTGCTGCTTTGGAAATAAGAGCAGAAGTTACTTCCAGAGCTTGTCTTTTACTCTGAAAAACATTGAGGTCAATAGCATTTAAAATTAAGGACACTGGGTCAACTTTCTTTGTTGGGAGAATGGATGTTTGCTTAATGACACACAACAGGAGGTCACTTTTCATCACTTCACAATTCATGAGCCTAACAATTTGTAGGCTTAAAACTATGCATGACAATATTAGAGAAGTATTTCTGGTTAGACTTGTAAAATACTTTGTCAGTCAAGCCTCTTGCCATCTTCTCATTAAAAGCTATGATGTATGTTAGGAACAAAAAAGGCACAGCTGGAAAAGTGGCAGTGACATTAATAGATGCTCACTCTCCTCTCTCTTTGTCTGAGGGGTGTGGCAGTCCATCCTGCACCATCCCAGTTTCATAGACAGAAGAAGGGGCTGTACAGAACAGGCGTTATATTGGGCAGCCGTCATTGAAAAGTTATGTGTTGGGCAATATAAGGTGCTGCATATATTTTTTAAAAATCTCACAAGAATAAGAACCCGCCTACTCCAAGAGTGTGGAGGAAAGTTTTGACACTGGACCTAGTGTGGGCTGAAGCCTTATGCTATCCAACAGCACATTTTACAAACCTATTAACGTTTAATGTTCTCCGGTTGATCAGCTCAAAAGATTTGCCAGCAGAAGACACAGGGAGGACAAGCATTCATTGACTGGGAAAATAATTAAATTGGAGGTATTGTCAGGATATTCCAGAAGCACTAACAGAACTGCTAGAAAGATGAAAGAGACAGAGACTCTTCCCAGTGGGCTCACTGAGGAAAGACTGCTCCATATTTCTAGAAGATGTTCATATCATAGTCCTAGGCATGCATATTTTATATGGGAGATTTTTAAACCTTTGGAATTCTTCAGAATACATGAAAGTAGTTGTAGACATATGTCTGTCTGATAATTTTGTATATGCTAGTTTGGTAGACTTTCTCTTTCCAAGCTACCACTCACAAATTGCATCTCCCAGGGGGGTGTGCAGCCCACAGAGCTCATGCACACCCCGAGTAACCAGGGCAACATGTTTTCATGAGGACACCTGATCTTCCCGATAGCCTGCAGGTTCCTATTCAGCCAGTAGCTGGAAGGGAGCATATGATCACTATGAGGCTGAGTTTGTGTCCTCCACAAGTCTAAGTTTTCCTGGGAAGACAGTATATGCCTGGTGTGTTTAAGCAGTGTTTGATGCAACTTCATATCTTATGAATGAATGGACCAAAAGTGCTGTGACTTAGGCTGACTTAATTTTAACTATTTATCTGTACTAGTCTTAGTATAAAAATACTGTTATAAAATTTGTGCAGTTTTTACAAAGGAGGAACTTTGGAGCCTGATATGTTTTATTATGTGGTACACATGGTTTGGTAATAGAAGAGCTGTAGTGTGAGCCAGCAAGTCTGAATTCTAGTCTCACTTTCCCTGCTGGTCTGCTTGGAGACCGCAGAGAAGCCACTCTTCTCAAATGTCAGTTTCTACATTTGTGTGTGTGTGTGTGTGTGTGTGTGTGTGTATACACATGTGTATGAAATAATACCTGTTGTACCAATCATAGAAGAGCTTTGTGAGTATAAAACCAAATTCAATGTTTTAAAAAAAGAAAATATCATTATTGACTAAATGGTTGCCTTGTGTTAACACTAACACCTGAGCTTATTGTTTAACTGCTTTTCATTTATGCCATGAGAGTTGCATTTTGTTCATAGACCTCTGATGACTCGTAAAAGGGAACTTCATGTAATTGCATTATGAAAATAACACTGCACATCTGTAAGGCTAGGCTTTGTGGTGTCATCTCACTGGATTGTCACAACTGTGAGCAAAATTAATTCCATTTCATACATAAAGAAACTTCGACTCTGAAGTGCCCTAGCCTAAGGCGAAGGACCTGGGCCAGTCCCAGTATTCCTACCACTTAAAAGTCATGTCCTTTTCTAAACAGCTTCACTACCAACACTTTAGCAGGATTCAGAAAGGAGTTGCAGCTTTGAAAGAACAGTGTACAAAGAATATACTGTACAACAACAATATGTATATATACATAGCAGAAATAATCTACTGTTTACCCTGTTAGAGATCCATCTGAAATAACGCCAATAAGCATAAATCCTAAGAAAAAAATGAAAACATTTTAAATACCCAGGTACTGTCGTAAAAATCACTTCCTCTTAAGTAGTGTCATTTCATAACAAGTTACCATTTTTCCTAGCAACTGTACTTCACAGGTCATATTTCTGAAGGATGTTCATTGTTGCCCCTTCTCCCTTTCAGCAACAGATCAACTCCTAGCAACCACGATCGGATACAGCGTCTGCGGCAAGAATTTCAGCAAGCAAAGCAGGATGAAGATGTTGAAGATCGGAGACGTACCTATAGCTTTGAGCAACCCTGGGTAAGTACTGTATTTGTAAGTACTGCAACTTTGTAAGTACTGCAACTTCCCTGCAGTAAAGGCTTTTGAGCTATGACCTCAGTCTTTTATGAAATGAGACACAATGGAGCCAGATTCCTTTGACCTTTAACATATTGACCTTTCCCTCATTTCCGTCTGAGTTTCATCATTGCTAATTTCATTTTATGTCTTGTTCCATCTGTCCATTGCATAATAGGTCTAATTAGCCGTGCGACAAGACATAGCAAATTTATTCTTGTTCTCTACTATGCATTTTTATTAAGTTTAGTAAATATTTTTCTATAGATATATTTTTCTGAGAATCAGAGCCACAACAAGTTCACATGTATATTTATGTCTAATAGGCACAGCGTCAGTGTTTAGTATTCTTGATTTTGGTGTGTGTTGTACTATAGATTGAGTAGAGAGCTTTTGCACTGAGCTACATCCCAAGTCCTTTTTAATATTTTTATTTTGAGATAGCGTCTTGTTCAATTGCTAAATTGCTGGTCCTGGACTCCAACTTGTGATCTTCCTGCCTCAGCTTCCCAGAGTGCTGAGATTACAGGGATTATACCACATCTGGTTTAATAATTTTTGATTCTTCATTTTCCCTCTTCCCCTAGGGTATTTGTTAAATACCTCTCATCCATTACATCTCCATTCTACTCCCTGCTCCGCACAGCCACAGAGTAATCTTTCTAGAACAAAACTTGGATTGGTTCTCAGTGCCAGACCTGTGTCTTCATCTTGAGTTTCACCCTGAATAATGACACTTCTGGGAATGGAGGTGGAGGAGCAGATTTGGGAGTTTGAGATGATGGGGATTTTGAAGAACAAGAATTTCTTTGGAAAAACTGAGAGGGACGCCCTTTGGGCTGAACAAGGTTAGAGAATCAAGCCCTGAATACGACAAGGTCCAGCCATTATGATAATGTGTCCATAGCTAGTAGTGCTTAGAGGACTGGGAATAATAAAAGCACATTTGTAGTTTAATCTACACTGAACGCTGGGAGCACAGAGCAGGCAGTCTACAGCCCAGTGAGGACGTGGTGCGGCCTGCCCCGTCTGGGTAAGGAGGCAAGGACAGCCCGGGAAGGATTGTCCTGCTAGATTAGGAGCAGTCAAAGAGGTGTCAAAGGTCTAGGGGTTACCAAGCCCACCAGGTTGTGCTCAAAAGAGTTTTCTGGCTTCAGGATCTTTTTTTGGGGGGGCGGTTTCCCAGTACCGGGAATTGAACTCATGACCTTGCCCTTGCCAGGCAGGCGCTGTGCCGCTGAGCTAAATCCCCAGCCCCTGGCTTCAGGATCTTGAAAGTAGCAAAGTTCTGGATGAGGCTGAAATCTAAGGGGTGTCACCTTTGCATGCGTATTACAGGAGCAGAGGAGAGATTACTGTGAGTCCTGTTTAGACAAAGTGTTGAGAATGTAATTAATTCCATGAGACTTTTGAGAGAAGGGCCGAAGGAAGAATGGTGTTAGAAAAGACTTGAAGTAAAATAGATTATCCAGTTTTTTGGGGAAAGATAAACTGCTCAGCTGAAGGATCAAGAAGTTGGTTATGTTGAAGGAAGTGGAGATTAAAGGCAGAGGGGCAATAAGAGCCTTCAATGCTGGAGTGAACGTTGGGAGAAAATGGGACCAGGACCAGAACTTGGTTCACTAGTTAAGTGGCCTGGCGCTGCAGGCTTCAGATTTTTTATTTTTAAACCAAGAAAATTAGAGTAGATGACTGTCGATTACTACACGCTGTGACAACTTGAGCATTAAAGAGGAAGCTGAGTGTGCAAAGCAGATGCGAGCAGAGCTCCTCTGGTTGGATGTCACAGGTGATAACTGCTGTGGAGCGGAGTTTCTCAAAGTATGGTCCACAGCCCCATCTCTAGCATCACCTGGACACTTGCTGTACACACTCATTCCTAGCCCTGCTTCAGACCCGCCAGCTCGGAGCCTCTGTAGTAGGGCCATGGAATCTGTATCTTAATGCGCTCTCTAAAGCGGAGACATGGTCAGCTTTGGAAAGCACCATTCTAGAGTCTCATGGTATCTGAGGTCCTTTTTGATCCTAATACCTAACACCCCAGTGCATTACATAAAAGAAGAACTCTTTAAAGTTCTGATTAAGGGATTTAATGATCATATTGGAGTTGAGGCAGATGCATTTGGAGGATTAAAGGAGAAGGGGGAAAAAATGGGAGAAGCTGTGCCTGTGAAAAGGTTCCGCTTAGTTTAGAAAAGGAAGGTGGGGCCTTAAAGCTGGCAGTGGGACCAGCTTCCAGAAGTAAAACTGCCTCAGGGAATCAATCCTTGGCCTGACTGTGGGAAATTTATAAATCAAGTTCGGCAGGTCCCATAGCTAGGAAAATCTACAATTGTCTTCTACAACGGTACTGTTATTAATAGTATTTTCCTAGAGTATTTACTTTTCTAGCTGATCAAGTAAATGGAGTCATTTCTGTGTAGGAACAGGACAGAACTATGTTGATTTAATCATATTATTGGATGTAATTGGTTCCATCTACGCCTACCAGGTTCATTACAGCAAGGTTGTTTCGTGATGCATGGTAAATATATTCTTAACTCTAAATGTGCACAAAGAGGTTGGAAAGTATAAGGAACAAAAGCAGTATAAACCTGAAGGCGAAAGCAGCAAGTGCAGGTAGAAATGGTTGTCTCTCTCTCCCTTTCTCTCTCTTTCTCTGTCTCCTCTCTCTCTCTCTCTCTCTTTCTCTCCCTCCCTCCCTCTCTCTGTTTCTCACACACACACACACACACACGTACGTGCACACACACACGCGCGCGCGCGCGTGCGCGCACACACACACACACACACACACAGAATTCCAACCCAGCAGTGGTCTTACCATTCCCCACACCCTACCATTAGGAGCGGTGTTGGGCCACTTTACTTTCCCTGGTAATGTGATTATCAAACCAGCATCTTCGCAACATTTGTTCTTTAATTACTTAATTCATCAAACTTACTGAGTGCGTCGTGTGTTGCAGTGCCGTGCTGGAGAACAAAGCTGGGAAGGTGGTCCTTAGAACCCTGTGGCCTTGCTGCTCCAAAGCAGAGGGACACCTTGTACAGTACAGAGGGATCTGACAGGGTAGGCATGGGGCCAAGGCAGCAAGAGGACAGAGGCCATAATAAGTTTTGAGTGGACAGGAAGTGCTTGAAGGAACCCCTCTCTGAAGACAGAATATACAAATTTGAGAAACAGAGAAACATATCCTTGGGAACTAAGATTTACAAATTTAATTCTAACTGCCGACAGGGTTATCTATGTACAGAATTCCAAATTTGAGGCTAAATGAGCATGTCCTGCTTCTTAGCTCTAGCTGTTTTTTATTGAGAGAAGTAAAGAATGATTGGAAACCTATTTCAGGGCTTTTTATAAGATTTTACAATAGGGATAGTGAAGATACTGACATACCTGTGTTACCTACTTGTAAGAACAGTCACTTCAGGGAATGCATGTGGGAGCCTTGTGTACTTGGAAACTCAATGACTGCAGGTCTTGGTCCAAATTATTATACATCAAAATTGCCATTACAACTTTAGACAGACAGCGTGGCTGTATGATTATTCCCTAGAGTGAATGAGCAGGGAATTATTGGGTGACAGGCTGATTACCTAAGAAATGGAAAAATTCCCTAAGTTGTGGGTCAGAAGTTGACCTTTTTCTCTTTTTGTTCATTTTCAAAGAATTGGGAGCTTGCTGTGGACTCTTGTTCTACCGATCATGTAAATGAGCTTAAAGGAGCTGCAATTTTATTTGCTATATTAATTTTCCTACCAATTCTGATCATTACCTTACTAAAAGTTGCTCAGCTGTTCACTTGGGCTATGGTTTTATTAATCCATTTCACAAAATGAGCTTTGGCTCTCTTGGAATCGCTCCTCTCTTCCCCTACATAGGCTGACCTCACAAGGTCGCTGTGTTGGGAAAGGAGACGTGACCTCACGCACTGGAATGGTCTGTAATTGTTTTAATGTTAAGGAGCCACAGACTCATCCCCAAGCTGTGTGCGTAGCTTAGACGGTATCAGATGAACTTACACTTGTTAGAAATGCCCACACACAAAGTGCAAACAGATGTGTCAGAAAAATATCCAAGCCAGTGACTTTATAGACAGAGTGGGGTGCAGCAGAAAAGTCATCCAAATAGCCCTTTTCAGTTCATCTATTTCAAGCATGTACGGATGCACCTGTTCGTGGGCTTTTGTTCAGAATAATTTCGGGGCCTGAGGGAGCTGATTTGTGGCACAAAAGGTCTTTAGATGAGCAAAGGCCCAGAAAATTCCCTTAGCTCCCTAATTGAAGTGAGTTCTCTCCCAAGTGGAGGAAGAGAAAAAGGAAAAGCAACTTCTTCTTTGCGTAGTGCCAGGTGCAGCCTAAATACAGCATCAAGTTGCTTTAAATCTTTAAGATAATGGAACAATAGCTGAGGTTATTGGGGTTATTATCGCTGAGCTCAGATATGGACAGGACTTAGTGTTGCTTTTAAAAAGAATTAAATTGCAGGCTGCACACGTAAGTACAGTATGCTGTTAAAATTTTGCAGATACCGAAGTATCGCCCACAAGGAGACTTGTGGGCTGAGACGATTGATAGATGGGATAATGGAGCCTTTAATAGCTGTATTGCTAAATCCTTTCCATCCCAGGTCAGTAGTGACTGAAAGTAGTTTAGTCCTTCAGGTAGAAAATTGACACTCCACAGTGTGAATATCCTCTTCGTCCCCAAGCATGTGCTCTCCCTGGATGTCTGTCTTTGAACAACAAAATCTGCCTTGCACTCCATTTTCTTGTCATCTCCTTCTTACCCTTTTAGGCTTTTGCCTGTCTAATTGGTGAGCCACTCTGCAGCCCCACACTGCCACCCGTGTGCCTGGGGAATTTGAGAAAATTGTGGCCTTTTTGCTTTCATCCTTTTTAAGACTTGAAATGTATCTGCTGTTGTTACTTCATGACAGCTTCCATGCCTAGGCTAAAAAATGCTCCCTTTTCAGAGAGGCCCTCTATGCAGCCCCAGCTCAAGCTGGGTGGAAGCCCCCTCCCTCAGAAGCAGACCTCGAGAGAAGCCTCCACACAGCATAGGCAAAGGCACTCTCCACCCACGCGGTCAGCCTCTGGCCTGCTACACAGTTGCCTGTTTCTTAACCCCATGACCGAACCTCCCTGTCCCCCAGATCAAATCTCCAGCTGCATCTGGCTGGTTTTGTAGAACAGCAACCCCTTCACTCTCAGCACACCTGTTGCTAAAGGTGGAAAAATAAAATCAATCCAAGCACTGGTGGGGAAAATGAGAAGACAAGACTACTTTAAGACCAGATCATGCATTTATAAAAATCTTTATGAGGGAAATAGTTCTGCAGAATTTTTTCAAACATTCCTGAGATCCTTAGTAAAAATGAAGCTTTTAGCCAGTCAGAGCTCTAAAGAGGCCACAGTTAATGTGATGAGGTGGAGGACTGAGAAACCAGGACAGACACCAGTTAACTGTGGTTTGATTAGAAGTTGTAAGTAACTGACTATAGAAAATAATTATTGCCAGGCATGGTGGTCCATGCTTGTAATCCTAGGACTCTAGCAAGCTCAAGTGGGAAGATGGCAAGTTCGGACCCAGCCTAGGCAACAGTAAATCAGTGAGACCCTGTCTCAAAATAAAAAAAATGAAAAAGGGTTTGGGATGTATAGCTCAGTGCAAAGGCCCTGAGTTCAGTCCCCAACTGGGTTGGGGATGAGAGGAGAAGGAAGGAAAGGAGGGGGAAAAGGAAGGAAGGAAGGAAGGCAGGGAAGATGGAAGAAAGGAAGGTAGGAGAGAGCGAGGGATGGAGGAATGGGAAAATAATTACCAATATTTGCAATGACCACTTTTTAGCAGAACAAACAGTTTGCACTCTTTACATGATTGAATGGCATAAAAATTATTTCTGCCCTTTACCAAATTTTTAAATTGTCATTTTTATCAATATAAAATTCCATATTAGGGTTTCATTTGAATGGCTAAAATAAGGATTGTAATTCTCAAAGTAACATGTTGCTTTTGTTGTTTTCATTATTCCTGTCATCTTCAGCATTAGATTTCATCCAAAGCACAAAAACTTTTTGCATTTTGTTTTTTGTTTTCTGTATATGCTCTTGGACATATGTAAAAATTTGAAGATTTTTATGATTCTTAATTTAGGTAGGAAATCTGTTAAAAATGATCATTTACAGGAAGACTTACATGTGTGTGTATATGTATGTGCATACTCGTGCTTACAACCTATCTTATCTAAAAGAAGAAAAATGATTGTGTGTTTTTAAGTTATTGGATATTTTATGTAAATGTTTATATCCCAGTAATGATTTTATTATGACAACATACTTTTATAGTAAGATTAATAGAATCCTTAAGGTATTTCCTAGTTTTAAATAATACTATAATTTTGTACTATGTATATTTGTATTCGTTAGTCCACTAACTATAATGATTTTATTTGTATTTGTATTTTTTGTATTTTCTCTTTCTATTTTGGAAAAAAATAAGAATGATTTAAATAAGAGAAATGACCTAATTCAGTGAAATACTATATGGAAGCTATTTCTTGTATTTTGCTTTATACTAAGTGGTACCAAAAATGTATAGCTTTCTCAACTGTTAAATAGTGTCTCTTTATAATCATGATAAAGTCAAGTATTTTGCAGCTCATTTACAAAAGCAACATGTATATTTTTTTTACATGTGCTTTTAAGCATAAGCTACAGAGAGAGACGTGTACTCTGTAGTAATGTGTTTATTTCTATCTTATGGCTTCTATTGTTATTCTAGCCTTGGCATCCTTGGCTACTTTTTTTACTTATTTATGTATTTTTTTTTTTTTTCCAGTACCGGGAATCAAACTCACGACCTTGCACTTGCCAGTCAGGCACTGTGCCGCTGAGCTAAATCCTCAGCCCCTATTTTTTATTTAAAAGGTTATTTCTTGTAACTAATTTCATCACAAACAAGGCCCAGTCATTTGTAAATTCTCCTGTTAAAATGGAACTTCACCTTATTGTCTGAGAATCCCAGAATCATCCCAGTTATGCCTCCCTGTGTATTTCCCTGTATAGTTCTGACTTGCCATCCTAGTTGGTCATGGTACTTTGTTTGAAATCTGTGTACTTCTTTGGAAGTTTCAAACTTTCTCCTCTATTTTTGTAATTTTGAACTTAGATACATGATTCTGTTTCTGTCACCAGAACTAAAGCCTTAGTATTTAAAAGGCAGGATTGTCAGTTATAAAACTGGCCCCATAATTTACATATTTATACAATCTTTATTGAAATTGTGAAAGAGAGAGGTTACTTTTTATTCAGCCCAAGTGTAAAACTTGCTAAAAATGATCTTTCTGAGTTGTTGCTATGGACTGGTCATGGGTGTGATTTTCTTTGAAATATATGGTCCATTAGAATTTCTTCTCAAAGATAAAGGTGGTTCTTGCTACTAACCTGCCTTTTTTCTTGCTCTTTGGAGAGAGAGACAGAGTAGAATTTAATGGGAAGGCTGATGTTTGCATTTCATCATAGCAAGCATGAGGGTATGAAACATGTCAGTTTGCTGATATCAAACTCACTCACTTCTTTAAGTTTATGGCCCTGTAGCCTGATAATTTCATTCCTGGAGCTCATGAAGACATAAATTGATTGCCTACAGCCGGTAAACGTTGAGCAGAACAGTGTCAAACAATTGAAGTTGAGGAAAACAAACGAAAAAAAACTCTTCAACTTTGTTTTTCTCTGTCAGAATCAGATTTTCAGGCTGTTGTGAGAAACAGCTTAAAAATACACCTGAAATTTCCACACGACCTTGCACTTTCTTTTCACATCTCCACAAGCAGTGTCTCACCGAACAGCATGAGCTGAAAAAGCTGCTCACGAAACCCTGCCACAGAGCGCCACACCCTTCAGGACTGCTCCGCACACGGAGACGGCTGATGCTGAGGGCAGAGGAAGGAAAATGTGGTTTTGGAGAGGGCAGACGGAAACGCTGTAGTATTTCCTTGCTTTGCGTTCGCTCTGTTCAGTGGTTGTTCTCAGGCTTCCCTCGGCTAAGCCACACAGCAGGTCGGCGGCCTCTTTGGCCAGCCTCATCTCCCATAATGGGAGAAATGTCTGTCTCCGTTTATGGAGTTGATGACTAATTGCTTGATGCTTTGTTTGCATAAGCAGAAACTCACTCAGAGAAGTGTTTTTTTCTCAAGGCACCATGGCTGTGTTATTTGAACGGTGTTGTGGAGTGGGTCTCCGAACGCACATTTGTCCCAATGAGTGTGAACATTTCCTAGGAGAGACTAGGGTATTGTAAAGCCTAATCTCTTCACACATTATTTTTGTATCAGGATATTTTTAATATGCTCACGGACTGTGCCCATATGCTTGGAAATTCTTGTCCTGGATATTGCCTTGTTATTGCTTACCAACAAATAAGAGAGTGCTGGTCTGGCAGAAAGAGAACAATGGGTGCTGTGGATTTCTGTGCAGACAAAAGCCAACAGCAGCCGCCATTCTTGAGGTAGCAAGGGCCTGTGTTATCTGCCCCTCTCCAAATGAACTCTGAGACTCAAGAAGATGATAAATAAGTCCAAGTCTGCAGCTGGCTTTCAGCCCTAAGGAAATCAGTGACATGGTTTTAAGAGACATTCTTCACATAGAATATGTGTGCCATACGATGTTGTTCAACACAAAGGGGGACACAGGTTACCAGGTGTCAAAAAGGATGTCTGAGGAGCAGCCGCCACCAGTGCAGTCACACAGCATTGCTGCATGTTATGTGACCTTAGAGGCATCATTGTCTGTGTTGAGCAGAAACGTTTCAAAAGGCCCAGTTTAGCAGGTAGCTGACATGCAGGTGGGAGTAGAAGCACCGCAGGACCCTGGTCCACACAGCACACTGGGCTGTATGTGTTCAGAGACCCAATTCTGGTGGGAAGTCCGAAGCCACCAGTGATGTCCCTGGCTTAAGGGGCAGAAGGATTTAAAAGTTCTCTCTAGGCTGTGGTCAACTTGGGTAAGATGCTATTTCCTGATCACTAGGGGACAATTCCCCTAGGCCGCTGGTCACCAGAGCAAATAGTTATTTGCTTGTGGGTTCATTCTTTTGGAGTTTCTCTTTCCCATATCGCTGCCATCCTTGCACCAGAGGAGACCTGTCCCTTGCTGACAGCCTCTTGTTTAAACTAACCTTGGTTAAATTTCAAAATTTAACTGTCCTGAAAAAGAAGAAGAATCAGCAATACTGTATTATGTTGCTTGATTGTATATGACTGCAGAGATTCACTAGCGACCTGGGGATTTTTCACTTTTGTTCATTACTGTAGCAAATGATGTATGCATGTGTGTATACATGTATGTATATGGATATGTAGGTATTGGCTTTACCTGCTTCTGATATTTCCTGCAGACTTGCTCTCCTTGTATCTGCTGTCTATATGAAGGATACAAATGGCTATTTCATGTCCATATTTCTGAAACCTCATTAAGATTGTAAGCTTGACCTCTCCAGTTGAAACTGCATGCCAAAGCTCAGTCACAATTTATGATGTCTTTGGGACTCAGAAGAGCAATGATGTCTCTTTTCTCTACGAAATTTCATTTGGTGGGGGCGGATTTCACAGAGTTTGCAAAATGCTTCTAAATCATCTTATAAGACTGCAAAATGGGCTGGGGAAGTAGCTAGGTGGTGGAGCACTTGTGGAGCATGGGGAAGCTCTGAGTACTATACTTATGCAGGTCACTTGGACCAAGCTGACCAATGGCGTGTCGCAAAGCCCTGAGATGCTAATGAGCTGGACATCTCTCCCACAGCCCGGTTCACGGCCAGCAGCGCAGAGTGGCAGGCACTCAGTATCTGTGGAGGTGCAGGTCCAGAGGCAGCGGCAGGAGGAACGCGAGAGCTTCCAGCAGGCGCAACGCCAGTACAGCTCCCTGCCTCGGTAAGTGACCCCTGCCCCGGGCCTAGGGAACCATTCCTTCCCAGTGGCGCCAGCTTTTCCAGCTTGCACTCAATACTGACAGAGGCTGCTTGGCTGGCAGAGGACACATCTTCTGTACAGGAAGACTAGAAAGACACGTGCTTCCCGGATGCTAGCATCTCCACCCCACTGCTCCCTGACCCAAAGTGGAGTGACACAATATGAACACCAGGCTTGGGGTGTCTTCTAGTATGGGTTCTGGTTTCCATGTGGCCATGGAAAAAACTTTGCTCATCTGAGAAAAGGAGAGAAAACTGTTCTTTTGTTCTACCCCTGAGGTAACTAGGATGAATGATGCTTTGTTCATCTAGAGCTCTGTGAAAGGAGAGATGCCTTTGTGGGATCGGTGATGGTAATCCACACTGTCACTGTCCCGCCGTTCATGTGGTGGTTCATGTGGAACATCAGAAGGTCCCAAGGTGTCAGTGCATTAGCTAACAACTGGGCAGAACAGATTTGCCAGATGAGCATCCCAGAGGAGGCACCTCTGCTCAGGTGGGCTCTGTCAGAGGACCAGAAGCCTCTCATTGGCCTGGGCTCCAAACACTAAATTAATAGCGATCCTCTCACCCAGGTGTTTCTTCCAGGCAACACAAAGTAAAAGCAAGTGTGGAAAAACATTCACCTTCCCCAAACAAGTCTCCTCTGTAGTCACAATTATTCCGGATGTTGCTTGTCCTATTTCAAAACCAGGTGACCATGACATTTCGAATGTCATAAGATCCATTTGCCATCCTGATGTCAAGTAGACTCTTGCACTTCAGGGAAGCAGTTTTTAGGGGAGGGAGATGTTTGTCTGTGTATACTTGAATGACCCATATAAAAGTGATCCCAATTCAATTTCATATAAAGGTGAATCCCTTCAATTGTTAGGTCATCACTATGACAACCGGGAGGGGCATCACACTGGCAGGGGTCAACTGAAAGAACATAGATAGCATGGATGTGAATGAAAACCACCAGGATGACTGTCATCCAGTGTGACAATTCGTTCATTTGGTTGTTCATTTTTAACTCGTAAGGTTGTATCTCTTGCCTTTGAATAGGAGGGTTACCCATTAGCAGTTCTGTAGCCCACTCAAGATGGGAGTCATTGAAGGTTAGTTCTGAACAAGTCCTTAGCTGCCGTGTTGTTTTGCAAGGAAATAGCTCAGAGAAATGAAGTATCTTCCCACAAGGTCACCCAGCAAGTCCTTTAGCTAGAATTCAAACCCACAGCTGCCCATGCCCTAAATCATTATTTTAGAAGGCTCTTTGCTACTAAAGGCTTTTGTTCCCAACTTCAGGTGTTTTCAGCTATAAAGTTCTCCTGGGTGCTCTGCTGCCCCTAGAGCAGTGATGGTGAACCTTCACCAGGTTCCAAAACTGCAAACCAAAACCCACTTCTTTAATTGCAAAGTGCCAACACTGCAGTTAAATCTGAATGCTCGTCTCTGGGGACGACTTGGCTTGCATGCTGACAGAGGGCTCTGCGTGCCCGCTGCAGCATACGTGTTATAGGTTGTCCACCACTGCCCTAGAGTTTGGAAGGAAGCCACTGTATGACTCAACCCAATGGCTCAAATGCTAAAGGCCGTGCTGCTTGGCTTGGGTCCCATCAGAAAGGTGAGCAGGAGTGAGAGACCAGGGTGGCCTGGACTCCCCAGCCACAGGGTGGCCACAGCAACGCACGACTCCTGTGAACAGAGTCACAAGGGCCCTCTTCTTGGTTTTCTTGGCAAGTTCTTGGCTTCATGTGTTTCCTTGTGTTTAAGATCATTTAATGAGCAATGAAGGAAATGCAGAAGGCTGAGGAAAAGAGGTAGGAGAGATGGTGGTGGGGCAAGCCTGGCAGGCAGGCAGACAGGTAAGGGAAAGAGAGAGACTGGGCTCCCTGCTGTAGGGAGAGGCAGATGCAGGCAGGGGATTTCCCAAGCTCTGCTCGCTGTCTGAAGTAGCTCGTACACTGCGAACCGAGCCTTTCATCCTAGTCTCCTCTCCTCCACCTGTTTTTTAAAAGTAATGATAACATATTTTAAAAATTGATACATAGTAACTGTATCGTACTTAAGGGGTACAAGGTGACATTTAATACATGAATATAAGGTACAATGATCACATCAAAGTAATTGGCATATCTGTTACCTCAGACACATGATTTCTTTGTGTTTAGAACATTCAAACCCACCATATTGAAATATCCAGTTAGTGGGTGCCATCCAGTTACCCCACTGCGCCCCTCTTCCCTGCTAACACCTCCTTTTCTCCTAGACATCCCTCCCCATCCGCTCTTCCCTCCCTTTCCCTGTCCCTTGAAGCACCTGTAGCACCGTCCACATTGATAAGCAGAGAGTTGCTGATGCTACTGCCAGTACTACTGCCGTTTTCTAAAGGCTTCCCACACAAAAACCAACTTTCCCTCTGGGATAATTGTAGCTCTCTATTTTTAGTCATTTGAATTCATTTAGATAAGAGAAAAGCAGACATCCCAGAATAAAGAGTTATGTAAGTTTTGGCAAGAAAGGCCGGCAGCCTCCCACATCACATTCTTCTCTTCTTTCAAAGAGTAACTTCTCGGTGCAGATCTTGGTCCTTACTGTAGGGAAGTCAGAAACAGAGCCCGGGCCAGCTCAGCTTCGTTCCTCCGCAGCAGCCGGCACTGCTTACAACAGGTTGTGTGCGTGATGTGAGGGAAGGGAGGAGCTCAACCAGGCCGACAAGGGGCCTCGCGGCACCCTACGCAGCCAGAGTCAGTTCCAAGTTTCCGGCATGTACTGTTCTTCAGAGACGCCTGACGTCTGCATTTCAGATGTTGACAATTAGCCGAGTTTTGTCTAAACAAGCCAGTGTGGCATTTAAAACCAAAAAGATTTCACACACAGGCGCACATGCACACATACGTTCATTTACAAAGCGCAGCATAAAATAAAACAAATGGTCAAGGCTTTGTATCAGTTGCGTTAGATAAGGTGGTTCAAATTAGAGATCTGTGTATAAGCCAGGCAGGTCTGCGAATTGGAACCGTAATTAAAGAAATCCATGGGTAGAATGCGAGTCACATTTTGAAATGCCAGTGAGAAACACTAACCAGGTGGAAGCGCTAGTTTGGGAAGAAAGGGGACCCGAGTGGCCCCACACTCATTCCCAATCAGACAAGGATGTTTTCGTTTTCATTCCTAAATGAGTTCCTTTCCCCAGTATCCAAAGGCAGTTCTGAAACTGAGCAGAGGTGTCGTTACTCTTGGAAAGACTTCAGATCCTTGAGAAGCTATTTCCCGTATTTTCATCTCCTCCTCCCTTTTCCCTGCCTTGCCTGTGTGTGTCTGCCCTTTAGCTTCCTGCTTTGCATGCGTCCCTCTAGCTGTGTCTCTGCCCATGGCCTGGTCTCCCCATCAGGCCTGGGGTTACATCTCAATTCACTTGTCAGCCTTCAGCCTTGGTCTTCATCCTTCTCTGAGCCGCACCTCAGGACCAGAGTCCCGCACTGAGGTCTTGCAGGCCTTTTTGAAGGGAGTTATAATTGTCAGATGGGTTGATTTCCAAGCCTGGGCATGTGTGCCGAGCAGATTTGGAAATCTCCAGTGGGCTCACTGAAGGACCAAGCAATCTCAGTGTGTGTTGTAGAAATCCAGGGAAAGCAAATCAGTGCTTCCTGGCCTTTGACAGAGGCACCCTGGGAAAGTAGGCAAAGGATGGGTCTCCAAGGACCAGGGTTTTCTCATTTTCACAGCACTATGAGTTAGCCTCTCTTCCTGTTACTCTCTGGTGCCCACCTCAGCTCCATGATCTCCATCCAACACTTCAGACCAAGGAAGGGAAAGTTCACTTTTTTCTTTAGTTTACTTCTTTGGTACAGAAGATGCCCCTCATCCCCACCCCAGAGCCTGATGTTTGCAGGCAAAGCTTTTGTCTTGAAACTGCTGCTCCAGTAGCTATTCATGAGTCAGTTAAAGTGTTCTGGGCACTTTTCTAAGCCTTTTATACATTATATTTCATTGGGTTTTCATCACAACCTTGTAAGGTCAGGCATTATATTCATTTCACAGCATGAGTAACTTCCCCAGGGTCACGCAGCTGTCAAGTGGCAATTTCAGAGCTGAGCTGTGTCTCTCTGTTCCCAAGCCCCTCTCCCCCTGGGCCCTGGTGACTGGGTTTCTAGTGTAGGAAACCCTGCTTGTCTGCTTTCTCTTCTTGGTCTCTACAGCTGGCTTATTTCTCATCATTTCCGTAATCAAGAGCCTGTTGATACCAGTAGCTTCCTCACCCGGGAAGTAAGTGTGTGTGTGTGTGGTGGGTGTCTGTGTGTCTGTGTGGTTGCATTAGACCTTACTCCAAATCTCAGGGCAGCCTGCTTCCTTCTCTCTACACTGATTAATGTGAAGAAAATTTTAGCTACAATAAATTCTTTCTCCCACATCGTCGTATTTCCATCCCTAACAAACCTTAGTGAATTCTCAGTGTATTTAAATGTAGCCTCTGTCTTCCCGGACGATCCAGAATTCAGCTCACAGTACACAACCACCATACCATATGGGCCTCACGGATTTGGGAGGAAGAGGCCTTGTGGGTCTCAGTAGACCAAGGATAAAAAAAAGGTGAAATTCCTGCAGCCAATTTCTCATTATTTTTTAATTGATAACTAACTCATAAAGGAATCCACCCCCTTGTTTCTGTGATATCAGTAACAAGTTCGTTGTTTTAATTAAAGTTTCATGATTAATGTCAAATCCCTGGTCTTGTGCTGACACTTTCCATCACTCATGTCTCTGGGCAGATTAATTTATGACTTTTTAAGTGGAGATAATCAGTGCTTTAGGCAAATAAACTATTCCATCAAATCTGAGTATTCTTGCTCAGGCTGATGATACAAATGGTCTGACTCCTAACTAAAAGAGAGTGAGATAAATACACTGTTGTCTGCCCCATCCATCATAGTTAGATCCCCGAATGGTGCTGGGTATGAAGTTCACTTTCCCTTTTGAAAACTTCACCAACTTTTCCATTTGAGGCCACATGGAAAATGGGCAGATTCCAGCCCAGACCATGTTGCGGGCACTTCAGAATGCTGGACGTGCCGAGTGCTGCATTCCCGTGGGAATCCCAGTGGTTTCCCAGGCCTGGTTTTTCTGCCATAGCCAGGAGTCCTCGTGAACATCCAGCCGTGTTGTGTATATTGATGCCAAAGGCTGGGCAATGCGTACTGTCGCCAAATGATTTTCTTATTGATAAATGGAGCAATATATTTTGCTTTATTATTCAATCGTCTCTTCTACCTCTTCCATTTTCAAGGCAGAAAAATTAGGGCATGTCTTCCTTCCTGGCACAAAATTGTTTTACTTTATCATAGCCTATCTTATTGTACATTCATAAAAGCACCTAGAGACTTGGTAGTAAATTAAAGATGTTTCAAAACAATAATATTTCTTGAAAATCATGTGCAGTTTTATTGCAGAAGTGATAATTTGAAATTTCTAGATGACTGTGATTTGTGTCCCTAACACAGGATGGTAGTGAGTGAGTTAAACAGGTTATCCTTGCCTTTGGTGACAGCCAAGTGTGCAAGGAAATACTGCTTACCCTCCAGACCCCAGGTTTTCCGGTCCTGATGAGCAAGTGTTCTGGGATGACCACTTGCTGGAAAGGGCTGCCTGCTACATTTTTAATGACAAAGGAGTCTAGATGTAAATCTTTCATAACCAAACTCACACTTCAATGCATTACATGCACCCATATTAGCCAGCATTTCTGGTATGATGGTGGCGGCTGTGTAAAATATTTGTTTTGCTTGTTTAGAATTGAATTGTAGCACGTTAAAGCAAGCAGCAATGACTGCTGCAGAAGATGCTGTCGAATCTCAGAGACTTCCATACTGGCCACTGTGTCTGAGTTGTAGGGGAGATTGTCACCCTCGCAGAACAGACAGTACCACAAGACTCAGGAGGAGCAGGGCCCCATTTCTGAGTGGCTGACACGCCTGCTTCTCTCTCCTGCTCTGTCAGTGTCAGCGGGACTGCCTGAGACAGTGAGCTTCTGTAGACAGCTGCTGTGGGGCTCTCCAGCAGTGTTGGAGGTGTGATGAGAACGTGGCTCTGTGGGCCGAGACACAAAGACGCGTGCTCCGTCTCATCCCCTGTGCTCCCCCAGCCCCCATACTGACCTCTGGCCTTTGCTTTCCAGGCAGAGCAGGAAGAATGCCAGCTCAGTGTCCCAGGACTCCTGGGAGCAGAACTACCCCCCTGGCGAGGGCTTCCAGAGTGCCAAGGAGAATCCCCGGTACTCCAGCTACCAGGGCTCCAGAAACGGCTACCTGGGTGGGCACGGCTTCAATGCCAGGGTCATGCTGGAGACCCAGGAGCTCCTGCGCCAGGAGCAGCGGCGGAAAGAACAACAGATGAAGAAGCAGCCCCCACCTGAGGGCCCCAGCGCCTATGACTCATATAAGAAAGTCCAGGATCCCGGCTGCCCCCCGCCCAAGGGGCCCTTCCGGCAGGACGTGCCCCCGTCCCCGTCTCAGGTGGCCAGACTGAACAGACTGCAGACTCCTGAGAAGGGGCGGCCCTTCTACTCCTGAGCACGAACAGTGCCGCCTCACGGCATGCAATAAAGGACACTTTCCTACGAAGACTTGTATTTTGGGAGTTGTTTTTTTAAAGAAAAAAAAACCTTGATGGTACTATGGAATATTTCTGTTGTTGGTATCAGTGCCTTTACGCAATGTGAGCAAAGAAGTAGAAGGCCTTAATGTCTTTGCCACTGCATCTCAAGTGTCTAGTTCATGGAAGGATCTCCACCCTGACAATCATCCCTCTGAGGCGTTTGTACACTCTGCATCTCTGGAGCCCCGGGGTCCTGGCCCCGGCACAGAATGGCTATGGCTTTGCTCCCGCAGCCCACTGAACTTGGGGTGGTGCGTTAACTTGAAGCTGAGGTGTCCTTGATCCCTTTTTGCCATCCGCCATCTCTTAGCTCTGGGCAACATCTCGGTCTCTGGTGGGTGAAAGTGGGCAACATGCTCCAGAACTCGGGACTTCCTGGGACTTCCCAGCACAGTCTTTTATTTGTAGTCGGATGAATTTCTCTTTTCTTTCTCAGCCCCTTGTAACAGGAATGCTCCGTCATTCTATGAAAGACACTAAGCCATATTCCAACACTGTTTGGTTATTGTGGTCTTTTTGTAACTGCCTTATACCTTTACCAATAAAGTGATGATTCAAGTCTGTGTTTATAAATACACTTGTTTGGTCACTTTCCTGACATATGTTGAGTGAGCAGAGATCTGCGTAGGGAATGGGGACACGGGAGTGACCTGGGTGGGGGACCGGGCCTGCCACTGGGTCCTGCGTGCGCCCTCGGGAAAGAAGGAGCTGAGAAAGGAACGCTCCCCGGTGGAGCTGCGGACCTGTGCACTCCAAGTATTATTTTAATTCCTTTTTGTTGTGGCCAGAAGGGCAGGGAATGAGAGACACATAAATCAGCCACGTGTGGACTGTAAAAACTGACCTCTCTACAGGTTTTGAGGTTGGTCGGAATTGATATCATCTAGCACTTCCACACCCTGTATCCCTGCCTGATGATTCGGTGTTGCTAAATAATTCTGCTGCAAAACATAAAAAAGACAAAGAAGGGAAGAGCCATTTCATATCACACAGAGAATGTTTTGGTGTTCCGAAGCAGTGATGACAAAAGCTCGCCGTGGGGTCAATATTTTAATGCACGTGCGGGTCGCCAGGCCCCTGGTTGCCCCCTTTCCCATCTGGTGGTCTGAATGTCCTGCATTGTAAACCATGGCTGGGTTGCTAAAGTGCCTGTGAATCCTGATGTGAAACAAAAGCTTGAGATAAAAGCTCAGAGTACCATGTATTAACAAAAAAAGAAAAAAGATATGTATTGTGTTGATATGCCTATTTTTTTTTCTACTGGCACATTGTATTTTTGTGTCCACTTTTTTTAGAAAATATGTGAAGTGTCCACATGTACCTGTGTCTCCTTTGCATTTCTGTGTACTGGTTCTGTTTGTTAATAGTGTGCAGCGATGTTAAACGGTGTCACCAAAGTGGGAGCGGCGACCTTGGATGCTAGCGGCTCTTTCTCACAGTCCCCGAAGCTGTGGGAAACAGCTTTCCTTGTACATATGAGACTTCTAATAAAAGGTGTATTTCTCCTGGTCTTTGTGGTGTCCGAAGTTTTTCTGTGGAATCTCTCCTGGCTGGGCTCTGGGGTTTTTGTTGTTGTTGTTTTTTAAAGTATATTAGCAGATGTGATTTTACAAAAAATATATTTAGTCCAAGCAGAAAGTTTGTCCATCTCTCTTTGTGTGCAGACAAAGAAACGGGTGGTGGATTTCTTACTTGGATATCTGAGGAGGCAGGGAGGGAAAGATAGGAGCCCCTTCATGCTGAGTAATGGAAGCCCGCCGAGTCGGACCTGAAGGAGCCAGCGCTGCAGACCTCAGTAAACGGAGATGTGACAGAAATCTACAGCCTATCTTGCTCCTTTCCAGTTACTTTTTTAAACCAGCTGTTTTCCTGGAGTCTCAAGCCTCACCTACTGTGAGCTGGGAGTAAAGTCCAAATCTTAGTCTATTTCCAATACTAAATTGGTTCTTATTTTCCAAATCATAAAGTAAGGGTTTGCTATCTCTTTTAAACGGACAATCATCAATGTCTGTATGGTGTTTTGAAAACATGGAGGACAAGCCATCCCTAGGGATGCATAGGGCACACACAGGACTCATGGCTGCCACCCAAAGGAGAGCTTTGCAAGGACCATCCAGCTGTCTAACTATCTGTGAATGCCCTCTGGGTAGAATGCTTAGTGCCACTTGGGTCTCCCAGCAGCCCCCCCTCCCTTACTAAATCTAAATTATGTCACCTCAAGATCAGTAACTAGAGTGCGTGGCAAGCTGAGGAATTGTCACCTTTTTCCGTTCTGCCCTGCATGCCGGGTGCTGGAGAGGAGAAAAGGGAAGATAGACAGATTTGTTAATTTTCTCTCCAACCAGGAGCCCCATTGCCACTGCCAAAACATACAGGTTATTTATCTCAACTGACAGCAAGAAGCAGAGCAGGAAAGGTAATACTGAACATTGCAGGGACCTAAATCACAAAGGCATTCCTGGATTAAAACTGACAAGCTGAGCTGCACCAGGAGGAAAAGGAGGGACAGACCCGAGTCAGCATAAGAGTGAAGATGTACTCTATCCATCATTCCTGTCTGCATGAACCCACCTCCCGGGCCCAGCACTTCACAGGACTTGAGAGTCACCCAGGAGGGGGTGTCCCAGGGAAGCACCCCAGCACCCCAGAGAGAAGCCCCCATTCTATGAAGAAGGAAGAAGGGACCCTTCTTCCCTCATGGGACAGAAGGGGAGTGACTCAACTGCCCCTTGGAAAAGATGGCCACACCATGATATTATTACCACTCTAAGCTCATTAAGACCATAGTCTTAAATATTTCTATTATAAATATAATTCGCAAAAATACAATTATTAGCTTCATCTGACTATAATGGGCTATCTGGCACAGGTTAATGATAAAGTAAAGAGAGGTTCACTTTGGCTCCTGGTTCCAAAGATTTCAGTCCAGGATGGGATAGCCTGGCTTGGGCTTCTGGGTGGGCTGCGCATCCTGGCATGAGCACCTTGAAGCAGGGAGACAGGGCAGCAAGAGGAGAAACAGGAAGAGCCCAGGTTCCCACAGTCTCCTTTGGAGGGACAGCCCAGGAACTTGAGAACCTGCCACTAGCCCCATCTCTGGGGTGGGTTTGTTGTTTGGTTGTTTTTTGAGACAAGGCCTCACTTTTTAGTTCAGGCTGGCTTTGAACTCTTTTTTTTTTTTTTTTTTTTTTTTTTTTTTTTTTTTTTTTTTTTTTTTTTTTTTTTTTTTTTTTTTTTTTTTTTTTGGTTTTTCTCTGGTACCTGGAACCGAACTCACGACCTTGCGCTTGCCAGGCAGGCGCTTTTTGCTGCTGAGCTAAATCCCCAGCCCCTGGCTTTGAACTCTTTATGTAGCCTGGGCTTAGGCACACCTCGTAAAGGTTCTCCACCACCTAATCAACACGATTGTGGTGAATGACTGTTTAACACACAGATTTTTGGGGATACTCATCCAAACAATAACAATAAGATATATGCAGTATATGTACTTTAAGTAATTAAACGCCCCCCCTCCCACACACACACACATACACCTGCTCTGTGTGGTCAGTTAGAACAAAGACAGCTCAGAAATCAGTGGACAGGACCGTCCCCCAACAGGGTGGAAAAGTAGGACCCGGCTGTCTGAGGTTTCTACCAAGGAGACCAAATAGATCGAATGGTAGAGACTAAACCAAATGACTGTTGTTTATTATTGGGAGGGGGCAACTGGTATTATTCAACCACTTTTGAAAACAGGAAATGCAAGCAGACTGACCCCGCTGTGAGCAGTGTCTTTTGTGATCTTCCTCCATGATGGATCTGAGGAAGAGGTGGCACAGGTGAGAGACAGGAGCCACAGTGGACTTTTACACACCTTATCCCCCTGGATTCGCTCACATGTCACAGTCACCCTTAAGATCACTTCACTCCTCCGGGTGGTTTTCCTTAAAAGTGCACGTTTGTATGTCCCTATATTCGGCATCAGTACCACATGCGCCGTGCATCTGTAATTCTGTATTTGGTTATCTCAAAGGATTCCTCTTTCATCCTGGGGGTCCTGAAAGCTCAGATGTTGCCATCTCCAGGCAAAAACAAGCTAGATTAAGCAGACAGGACTTTGTTTCTGCCTTGCTTTGCTAGCCGTGGGAGAACATGTCACTAAGGGTCTCCTAACTACCTATGAATAATAAGGGTCCTTCTTTGGATGACATTAAATTTAAATGTCTATTTAACAGCCAACTCTTTTTCCTTTTATTTTCTTTTTTGTTTCTTCTTTTTTTTGGAACCAAGATTACTCCGATGATGACATGTCAGGTAAGGAGATAATCTTCCTTTTTTCCTTCAGAGACAGGATATGATCTTAATAAGGCAGCTAATAAGAGCATTCACAGGTCAGCATGGGAGTGATGGAGTTGCTTTAATGGAAATCCACCTTCAGCTCTGAGTAATGATTAGATCACAAAGGCTGGCTGAATTAAATTGACTTTTTAAAAAAAAAACTTCAGGGGATGAGGGTTGTAATTCTGAATATAAGCTTTCTTTTCCCATTTTTAAAAACAAGAAATTGATATTCTCCTTCAGAGCTCATGAGTCAGAGGGAGATTGTTGTTGCCCAAACAAGCAGGAACTCCTTTCCCCAGTAGATGGTTCCTTATCTCCAATTACCTTCGCGGCCAGCGCTCATTCCCTTCCGGCTATTCCACAGCATTCATATCCCAGTAGGCAAAGGGAGAAATCTGTGGGTCTCCTTTGTCCATCAGTTTCATTTTTTAAGTTAAATCCTGTAGGAGGGAAGTGCACTTTTGAGGGATTCCACTGTGGGTGCTGTAGGGTTAGGAATTCTTTGCTGCAGAGAATATTCATGATTCTCCACTTTGTTTTGCCTTTTCTGAATTCAGGTTTCAATGATCTGTTTTTATTTTCTGATTTTGTTTTACAGCAAACTGTCCACCTAAGTCTCTCTCTCTTCAGATGGGTTCACTGAATCCTGGACACTGAGAAAAGGCAGACTCAAAATCCAGGTCTAGGCTGGTCCTCCAGCTCCAAGCCGGCAATTAGTCATCTTTCTTTCTTCTCAGCTCGTATCTGCTTCCAGGATCAATTAAATGTGTGAAAAACACCCTTTCTCTGAATTGCTCAACAAACTGCTGAGTCACCTTACACTGTTACTGGCTTAGAAAAACCACACAGAGCCGAGTCCTCCACCCCACCCTCCTCGGGAGCCTACGCTTCCAGTGTCACCAGGCTGGGTGGATGCTAGAAGACGGCACTGTCCTAGGAGACATCCTGTGTCCCTAAAGGCCAGGGTTGCTTGCTAGAAGCTCCTTCTGGACCTGAAGTTCAGCTCCCATCAGGGATTTTATGAGGCACATATTGTAAGTACAACTTTGAAGGCTTTACCATTAAAAACAGGCTGCAGGGCTGGGGGCCCAGCTGTCTTCCAACTACAGGGCGGGACAATGCCACGCAGTGCTCTCCAGTGACGGGAAGGAAAACAGCACAGGTTTCTAAACCAGTGTGACCTCAACTCATGACCTGGGTTCAGGGTTCGGCTCATATCGGACTCACTTTTGTTCAGCTCTGGCTGTCAGCAGCCACACTGATCACAGTTGCTTCTGTGGAGATGGGGTGGGCAAAAGCATCAGCCCGACAGTGTAGAGATGGGTCAGATTAGGGCTTGAGAGTGAATGCAGGCTATTCTGGAAAAAAGCAATGCTTTGAACTTATCGTGTGAAGCCTCAAAGTGACTTTGTCCTGTACACACCCCCATGTGCAGCTTCATTCCCACAGTTTTCTGAGTTTTATCTGCCTGGCTTGATTCCATCTGAGCCCAGGGAGCTCCCACCCTGGCCCATGAAGCCAATACGTTCCCTCAACACCCAAATCCACAGTGTGGGGCCACAAGGTACCTCTGGCTTTGTACTTTATTTGGTTGATTTATTTGTGTAGCCCTTGACGAGTTGCCAAACTCTCTCATCTTTTCTCTTTGGGTCCTGGGTTACTGAGAGAAGCAGGTCAAAGAGATGATAGCCCAATTTTGCCCCAGGAAAACTGAGACTCAACAGGAGTTTGTGACTTGCTGGTTGCTGAGTGGCTCAGTCAGAACACAAAGCCCGCTGTCCTCACTGTGACCCACTGTTGTGATGCAAAGATTTGATCAAAATAAGACATGGAGCCAGCTGTGGTGGCACACACCTGTAGTCCCAGCACTCTGAGGGGCTGATGCAGGAGGATCGAAAGTTTGAACCAGCCTAGGCAACTTAGTGAATAAGCGAGACCCTGTCCCAAAATAAAAAATAAAAAAGGGCTGAGGGTGTTGTTCAGTATAAAGGTCCTGGATTCCATCCCAGTACCACCAGCAAAAATTATGTTTTAACAATTTTAAATTCTTGCTTGATGATAATTGCATTTTTTGCTGATGGAGAAAATAAGCATAACGTAATATATAAAGAATTATGAAATTAGTAATGACTGGAAAATAAATATTCATCACAATACTATTTATATACATTTGAAAATTACATATGTA